TGCGCACGTAGCGGTGACATGTCGAGTGGCATATGCCCGTGGCACGGAAAGATTTTACTCCCTCTGCATGATGTGAGTGGGAGTTAAAAAAAAAAAAAAAGCATGTTTGAAATTTTTAGAAAAAAAAAATTAAAAATTGGGCAGGAAATGATGACAGATTAGGGCTGATGAAGAAAAGCCCTGTTTTCAAGTCATAGAGCAACAGCAGCCCATACTACACAATAAAGCTTGTTGCATTCTTAAAGTACCTGATACTTATTTCCTGTATGTACTATGTGTCACGCTTGGGCACAAAGGGAGACAGGGATCCAGAGATGCAGGGACAAAGGATCTTTATTATAAGGAGCCTAGGACAGGCACCGAAAGAAATTGCCTTCGGGTATCGAGGGAGCGATGCCTCCAAAGCAAAGGCACGGACGGTGATCGCCGCAGGGAAGCGGGCGATCTCCGAAGAGGGGAGCCAGAGAGGAAGTGCCGAAGGGATATGCAGAAACTGAGGTCCAGGTCCGTAAGCGGGGGTCGTTACCGGGGGGATCCGTCCGACGGGAAGGCACGAGGACTGGACACACGAGGAAGGGATCACGGGATATGCCGGGATCAGCGGGATAGGTAGGTCACTGGCGGGAACTGGGCAGAGGAGAAAAGGTAAGAAGGCAAGGATGACACGCACGGATGACAGGCAAGGTAAGGGAGAGCGGGCAGACGATAGACAAAAAGAACGCTTGGTACGGCAATGGAACATTGGCTCAATACTTCGCGAAGGTGTTTTGCGATCGCTTCGCTTATAAGGCAGTTGGATTGACAGATGACACTCTGCACCTGTCGGACCCAGCCTCTGTGGGCGTGACACTATGGATAATTTTTAACTAAAAAGCCATTTGGAGAAACAAATTTTAATATGTGTTTAGTATATTACAATATTGTATACATTTTGCATTTGTATAATCTTAATTATGAATTATCTAAATGTACTGCTGTTATAAATGTTAAAACTCAAACTTTTATGCAATGTTGTATTTCTATTAATATTTCCGCAGGTGCTGAGAGTCAGTTGGGTGTTAATGTTTCCCAGACCCCAACTACATTGGTGTTACACGCAGGACAATCGGCAATCATAACCTGCACCCAAAGCAGCTCTAATACTTACTGTACATGTATTGGTACCAGCAGAAGGCAGACAGAGAGCTAAGATTTCTCTTCTATACAGCTACATCTGCGGATGTAACGGAGAAGGGCGATGGGACTCCAGAAAGGTTTTTGGTCTCCAGGAAAAGCCTTGAACATACAGCACTGAAGATTGACAGTGTTGAGGTTGCAGATACTGCAGTGTATTACTGTGCCTCTTCACCACAGTACCAAAGCCTGCAGGTTTCTCTGTAAGGAAACTACAAGTGGAGTGGGAAAAGGGCCGTGCAGAAACATATAGCATGTGATCCAGTTAATCAAACTGATAAAACTCTCCTAAGGAATAATTTATACTTTATGTGCTACACGGGAATGAAATCGTTTAATTAAAGCAGACAGCTATGGTTCATAAATATAGAAGAAAGAGATTATTTCTATATTTTTATTTTTTCTTTTTGCACTCAAATATGAACCTCTTTCCCAGTCAGGTACATGTGTGTATTTACTACTGATTAATTGCATAATGTATCATTTTATTAATCCAGTTTCTACAGATAACCAACTGCAACTAACTTATGATCAGGTACTTGCCAAGCATATCACCAACATTAAACCAATTACAGTCTACTAGAGTACCACCAGGGTATTAATTAAACCCAATTAAATGAATGCCGGTTAAACAGTCCGCTGAATGAGTAAAAATCTAAGTGTCTGAACAGAAGACTAAGCTTAAGAGATGGCGCCCCCTACCGCAATTAGTATTATGTAAGCGTTTCAGAACATATTTATAGAAATTTGCATACGACATGCTGGTATAGAAAATTAATGGATGGAAACAGACTGGAAGGTATTTATCTGATTACAGATTTATTCTGATTATTTGAATATTAACACGAAACTGGAAATTGTCCCAACAGTACAATATAAATGATACGGTCACTGTGATATATGTGCCCTTTGCTGCCTAAAAAAGACTGCCTACCCCACATTTCTGTATATATTATAATATTATTCATTTTTCAGGGTAAAGACTTCTTCCCAATTTTCCAACATACGTGTTACACCAATGACAATACACCAACGCCAAAGATAGTCCTCCTCACGTGTGTATATGTCGTTTTCTACGTGTTATTTCCGCCATCAAACGGATAGGGTATAAATATAAAGTCATTGCCTCATAGCTTCCAGATTGTGAGCTTGTGCAGGTGGATTTCGCTGCGTCGTTTTTGAATGACAGTTTAACGTCGTGGGGACAGGGGGGGCACAGTGATACATTTACATAGAGCGGATGTACAAAAACCTCGCTGTGTTTGTAATACTGGAAATGTAAACATAAGGGAAGAAATCTACTGACTAGGGTAAACCTAAGAACTGGGCCGAGAAACAAATGCTTTCTTATTAATTCTTTACCGAACAGAACAGCGCCAATTCCTCCGATACCGGTGACGTTCCGGTTTAGGACTGAGAGCATGGCAGCCTTCACGTCCCTTAATGTACCATGGTGCCTCTGGAACCGAGGTGTTTGGAAGTGGAACCAAACTTACTGTTCTGGGTAAGTTTAAACATTTACAGCAATTATGAACATAAAGATTTGCCAACATTTAATAATATTTGTGTTATAATGCAAAAACTAGCCAACAGGTAATTTAAATAGGACCGATCAACGTGCTTCTTATGAAGCCTATTTCGGAAATGGTACCAAGCTGAGTGTTTTAGGTAAGATATATGGAAAAAATACGATCTCTATTTTTGTGGTACTCTGTTTACATGACGGTCGCATGAACGCTTGTTCACTTAGGTAAGTAGCCCATATGTATTTTATTCTGACCCAAGCTAAAATTCCAGTTAAATATCTTGAATCATACGCATCAATAAATAGATCAGTATATCGATGGATCAGGAGCTGCACTCCTTCTGGGTAAGAAATCTTAGAAAGATGTTTGGTAGTGTCGTTTTGATACATTATATGAATGTCGGTCCTGGACTAGTGCACGCATTTCCGCGTTATTTTGTTGTCTGTGAGAGCGATGTTGAAGTGCTGTGAACACTGACCAACTTTTCTTTGGTGACGGTACCAAAATAACCGTACTTGGTAAGTTGATGGTGTTTATCTATTTAACGCCGTTTAATCGCGTATATAAGCATGCAGTTATGCAGAGTTGCTTGCATTGTTCGTCGCGTTTGCCCGTTCGTGCGCGCACCTGGCATCACGGTCTGCGTTCATCCTCACCCGGCCAACGGTAGTCATCGGTCTGCCCTTCGCCACCCTGTCACACTGCACTAAACTGCGCCGGTGTTATGCCGAAAAAGGCATCCCTGCCGTAGAATGCATGCCTGTCTCTAAATGACCGATTGGTCGCTGATCTGAAACGAGTTGAGCTACTTTGTCGAGTTTGGCTACCGTAGTTCTAATCGATAGCCCTAACCCTTACCCTAATCCCCAAAAAAACCCTAAAACCCTAACCGTAACCCCCAAAATACCCCTAAAACCCTAACCCCCAAAAAACCCCTAAAAGCTCAACTCGTCGGAACACCAGCATGCATTCTACAGCAGGGATGCCTTTTTCGGCATAACACCTGTTACCCAGCTGACGGGGACCGTTCCCAGAACATTAAATAACGTTCCTACTGTAACGTTAATGGAACGTTATTTCCAGCTTTACCATGCCCTTTTGTTTCTATATTAGTATTAATTGTAGTAGTAGTAGTAGTAGTAGTAGCGGGCTAACGTTCTGGGAACATCGGGAAAACTTGGCACATTTCCATACCTTAATGGTAACGTTCCTAGAACGAAAAATTATTAGCTGGGCAGGTATTAGCATGATGTGCTGAGGCGGTGCCAACACTCAGCCGGCTTACTTTGGTAAAGGAACTAAATTAACCGTAAAAGGTAAGAATGCAATGCAATAATTTATCTGAAATGGAATGAGTGCTTAGAACTAGAAAGTATGATTTCCTTTTCTGCCAGCTTGAAACCAATGTGAACAACTATCCTGCATACTTTGGTGGAGGTACAAAGCTCACCTTTTTAGGTAACTAAAAATGCTACTATTTTAAAATTTGTGCTAGAATATGAATAGGCTTGTGTAGCGAGAGGCAACTCTTGCTGTAGCGTGTGAGCAGCCAGTTTTCATGTAGCATAATAACAGCGTGAATAATGATCCTGCTTTCTTTGGAGATGGAACCAAGCTCACGATTTTAGGTAAGGGAGGACATGGAGCTCTTTACAGTGAAGGTATTTGTACTCCTTCAGTCATCAGAGTAACAATTAACAGGGTTAAATCTATAGGGTGTGCCTTAATTCGTATTAAACAGAGCACATTCTCGGAACTGCGCTGTAGACCTTGTTTTGTTTCAGCTGAGAGATAACGTGTACTAATGCTGAACAGTACTTTGGAAATGGAACCCGATTGACCGTTCTTGGTAAGAAATTGGCGTTAATGGCTGAAAAACTGAATCGTGAATCTAGATTGGCTGCTGGATACGAGTCCTACAAGATCCCGGGTGAACCGTTTTGACGTCCAAATGTTAGGCTGGCTTAAACTATGCTTGTTAATTACCTTGTGTTAATAATAATTGTTCTGTTGTTTCTGACTTCTGCAGAAAAAGGAACCAAAATATCGTACCCCAAAGTGAAAATCCTACCACCATCCAAACAGGAGATTGAGCATAATCGGGTCACTTTGGTCTGTGTGGTGACCAGTTTTTTCCCTGACCATGTTACCGTCAAGTGGTACATAAACGACCATCTGGAGAACAGCCGAGCAATAACAGATGACATTGCAACGCGGTCAGGGCAGACCTATAGCATCACTAGTCGACTGCGAGTATCTCTGAAGCTATGGTACAGCAGCAAGTACAGCTTCACTTGTTCCGTCAACTTTTTTAATGGAAACCATTCCGAAGAGTTTAGGGCGTCTGTCCAAGGGGACACAGGTGAGTCTGCAGAATGTCGATCATGGATCACTATGTGGACATGCACAAGTTAAGAAGTTAGATTAGCCAAAATACCATATGCAACAGATATGTATCAGATATGCAAATGGGAGTATTGACACTGTGCCATTTGAAATATTTTTCTTAATCAATATTTCCATCTATTTTCAGGTTGTATAAAGACTGCAGGTAAGATTACTTAGTACTGTACAATGGTTATTGTATTATGCTATTGTAGCTGATTTATATAGCAGATTCTGTCCAGTACATTGGTCACTTGGAAAAATGTCATTGTCATGTCTTGCTATGTCATTGCATTTATCAGCTGTTATATTCATAATATTTTGTGATTTTGACTCATATCTTGCAAATAGAAGAACGACATCATCCTGTATTTTTGTTTGGTCTTTCAGGCAAGGTTAAAACGGATGGCAATATGGCAAAATTTTCATACCTTCTGTTCCTGGCAAAGAGCACACTGTTCTCACTGTTTGTAACAGTTTTCATGTTCAGACTCAAGGTGAGTGATTGGTTGATGAACAGGAAACATTTTTAAAGGATAGTAGCATCTTAGGCTTTGTTTAACATTTTTGTTACTCCTGCAGGGCTCTTCAAAAATCAAATGAGACTAGATGAAAAGACAAGTGAAAACTGCTCAAGTAACTCCTGTTTCTTTATCTGTTTTACTTTTCTTTAATGAGCTATTACCTGAACTTGACATTATTGCGCAATAAATCTTATTCAACATACAGGTTTTGCTATTACAATATTATTCAAACTTATTTGTGTAAATTACTAAGCTAGATGGAAAAACAAATCCCTTTTATTTTATATTTTATATGCAAAGACAGTAGCTTGATCTCTGTATTTTTTCATTCAGTTAATTAACTTTTAATAGATTCCTTTCCTGAATAAGTGGTTAAAAGAACAAGTAATGCTTGGCAATCATATTTGTGAAGAAACCAGGTTTGTGGAATAAAAGTTTATGATATGAGCTGGTGTGGCAGTTTTTTGTTCTTCATTACAATTCTGTAGTCCTTTACAGGGATGGATTTAAATTGTGGTCAAGAAAAATGTTGTAGTGAAATGTTGAACTTCTGGAATGTATGCTGCTTTGATAAATGAGGAGTTTCACTCTGAAGCATAATTTCTTTAACTGAGACGAAGTGAACATTAAAGATGGCATTTTTCATAAATGACAAAGAAGCTATTTTCCGACGTGGGTGTTTGCAAAGACTTTCTGCTTGCAGAGCATGGAAAATAGAACACGTTTCCTGTTGGAGTAAGCAGGTGTCTTCTGACGCCTGTTGTTCCAATTAGAACTTTTTCTCAACATCTCAACTGCACAGTTTACCTAAAAAATATTTTAAATGATAAATAATGTAATTTGCAGAAGTAGGTGTTCAGTCCATCACTGTGCAACTAAATAAAGTAAAACCAGTTCTTTTCTTAAAAACACACAGTGATTCTCAGTTTTGACACCATTTTATGGCATCTCATCCCATGTCTACCTTTTTAACTGTCCTGACCCAGCAGCTAGTAATTACTTTCTACAGCAAGTCTCAAGCCCAATACAGCATAATGGGTAATAAAATGGCAACTGTTCCCCCCACCCCAGGTGGCTTTGTATGGCTAATGAAATTTGGGCGTCGGGGGAAAGTAACTGAGCACTTTTGCAGTACACCGATTCCCTTGGTCCAATGATTGTGTAGGTGTAAGGCAACACTGCTATCTGAGCCAACCCTAATCATCTTTATTAACTTAATATTAAATATTATCCAAAATTGTTTTGTATTCTGTGTAGTATATGCTCTGGCATCCCATCTGAGGTGCACCTTGTCTGTGTGCCCCGTGCTTCCGTGACTGTTCACTAGGGAAGGTGGCCTTGCTGTGCTTATATATAGTATATATTTTAATAAGATGTTCACACAATATATCTTCTTGAGAACCAAATGAAAATATATATACAGGAATATATCTCAACCTGTGTTTCCCAACCTGGGAAACTATTTAACAAGTGTTTTGTTCTTTTTATTTATTTATTTATTCATTCATCATAATTTGTTTAATAGAACAAGTTTGTTTCTCATACTGAAAAGAAACTGTAATAAAAGGCAACCAAGTAAACAGCAGGATGTGGTTTAGTTGGCTTGTGTGTGTGTGTGTTTCACCTACATGAGAGCACATTGTGGGTGACAGGAAATAGGCCACGAAACTAGGGTGCAGCATTGGTGCTGTACTGTAGGTGACGGCAGCACGGGGGATATGCCGCGTCTGCAGCTTGTCTTATGCAAAAGGAAGCACTGCAGCCGTTTCGCTTATCACTCACGCGTCTCTTCCTTTTCACCTGTGCAAAATGCTGCTAGGAGACCACATATAGACATTCTTTCTGTCCCTTCCCCCTAACGTACGTCTGCAGCCAGTCTGAACCTTCAGTAGAACTGTATGAGGTTTTTGACTGGGGCTTGTCTCTCTTTTAGTCGCTGTGCTATACTCCATGCACAAAAGTAAACAGCGCTGTGTTTTATGGAAAGGTTTTTTGTCTCCAGGTAGAAGTTTTGCCCATCGGGTCTCTCAGCAGTGAAGTCCGTCACTGAGGAGTCTGAGACACTTCCTTTGGCCGCAGACAGAAATAGTAGGTCTGGTTGACTGCCGGGGATCTGTCTGTACCAGTACATATAGGGGTTGCTCTGTCCCCTCACCATGCAGGTCATCTTTATCTTTGCTAGAGATCCAAGGACTTCAATAATATTGGAGGGAAGCTGGTGGACTGTCTGTGATGCAGTAACTGCCCAGGAAAAAAAGAGGAAGTATTTTTTAAATAATAGTAAAAAAAAAGTTTAATATGAAAACATCATTTGTGAAGCATTGTGCAATATCACAAAAATAGTACAGCCATGAAAGTTTTAAACTTACTTTGCATCACTGCCAACTTTACAAGAGCTGCTATTACACATGGATACATATTAACAGAGAAGAGGTCCAACTATCACTTAAGGCTCATGAAACTGACATCTGAAGTCACCTTTATTCTGAAACCAGGTCACACAGGAAGACACCCTTTCCTTTCTGGGGTTTTGTTTCAGCTCTGCACCAGCAAATTACTCATTATTTTCCATCAGTCAGTACTGTAAAAAAACTAGAAAAATATTTAACTCCAATAAAAAACAATATGCATGTATGCCGATTATAATTGAATAGTTTCAATGTAAATTAAATATCCGCGGTTTCAGAAGATGGATGGATGGATTTAATGTTCTATCCTGTTTTAAAAAGATATTTAAATATATTAAAAAGATCTCCCTATTGCTAGAATATTTTTTTTCAGTAAAGGCATCAGTATTTTCCAGTGCCTATTGTTTCTGATCCAGAGGAGAAATTGACACTATGATGTTATAATTACTAATGGTATTTATTGAAGGACCGCTATTATTTTATATATATATATATATATATATATATATATATATATATATATATATATATATATATATATTAACACATAACATTTATACATTGTGGGCAATGTAAAGACATAATTTCATCTTATGGCATATTTTTGGAATGGAAAAGGGTGCTTCAGTATCTGGAGGAAATCTCTGCGCATTTCGGAGAACATGTAAGCTCTTAAGGCAACAGAATATACCACTAACCATGGTGACATATGACATACTACAAAAATTTAAAAAGGACTAAGATTCGATATTGCAGGTTTTGCAAATCAGAAGCTGAACATTGTGTAAAACTATTGCATTAGGAACAGGTGCATTTCTGGTCTTACGTCGCCTCCTAGTGTACAGCAGGGAAAAAACATATATAGGTTTTCGTATTGGTACTGCATTGCTGTTGTACGCTGTGTAAACTGGAAGCACAGAAATACACAGCAGAGTCGCTAGCTTGCAGCCTGGTCACATTAAGGGGAAAATGCTTTCGATCCTTCCTGTTGGGTGTGAATCTGCTGTCCCCCAGAATGTTGTCCATATCCATGTTCTCCATTTGGGAGAAGAAAAGCAGCTCCAGACCTTGTTTTTGTAGTTTTTTGTACCAGTACATTTGCTGATCATTGCCATCCTGCTCACATTCGAAGTAAACATCCCCACCAGCTTCCACAACAGCATCTCTAGTCTGATGTATCACAGTTGCACTGACCAAATCTGTTTTTAAAAAGAAGAGGGTGGGACGGTTAAATTATTTAATGAAAACAGTGTATTTGCCAAGTCTGAAACACAAATCTCTATAAATTAAATGAACTCTCACCATAACTCAAGTGCAAAGCCAGGTAAACAATAAGAGTGCAAATCAGTTGCTGAGATCCACACATGGTGCTACATCAAAAGAACGGTTTGAGTAACTGTGATCTCTGCACCTGCAGATCCACCCTTTCAAGCATTAGGTAGTAACAGAATACTTCCTGGTGAACCCCATGCACATGTCTAACTTAACAGACCACAGACTCACCCAGTTACTGAGTACTGCACCAGTTTTCACGTTGCACCAAATGTTTATTCCTAAAGAATCCCTCAATACAATAAAACTTATATACTATACTGTAGGTTTATATCTTACTCCTGGAGAGTCATTCAACATTGCAGATTAATTTAGGGATATCTTTGAGCCTGTTACTACCCTTGCTAAAAAGCATGGCCATAATTTGATAAATTCAAAGTATTTTGGGTATAGGTGTTCATCAGATAGATTTTCTATTGAGTCAATAATTGTCCTTCTGCTTTTATGTGTGTGGTTGTTGTAACACTTAATGGGAGACATTAAGAAGCAGTGTTTAATAGTATCAGAGTCAAACTGGAAGATCATTTGAAGACATACCTGCATAGGAAATAAAATTAAGAGGTTTAATATACCTTTAAAATTTAATTTGTGAAACTAAATAAAAATTAGTCCCTACAGTCTTTAACATTCACATTTTGTACTAGGAACAAAAAATTAATTATAAGTGACATTCACATGAGTAGTCAGCTAACTAGCCTGTTCTGTTCAGTATTGTTCTGGGCCGGAGATGGATAGCACTGAATCTTGTTTAAACGGAGCAGTAAGAATTGCTTTCTGCTCAGTTATTGTCATTGCTCTTTGAGAGTGGAGTTTAATTTAGTTAAGAGTTTAGTTTGGTTCAGAGTCGGCTGCATTTAGCTTGTTTTAGTTTTCGACGTTTGCTTACTGGTCTGTGGTTCTGGATGGTGTTTTTGTTTAGTTTTTAGGTCCTGCTTAGCCAGCATCTTGTTCTCAGATTCATGGTCTTGATTAGCTGAAGTTCCACAGCTGGTGTGTCAGCAGCTGCCCCCTTGTTTTTAGCTTTGTCGCGGTTATGCTGTTTTTGCGTTTAAACCCCAGTTTCTCTTTCCTGTGCCCCGCTTCCATTTTCTGGTTTTCCAGCTCTCTGCACTTCAGTCTGCAATATTGTGCACATCGTCCTGAAGAGTCCATCCAGTCAGCACCCCAATTTCCTGTTTGTTACCTACCTGCCATTGGGTGGAGGGCCCAGTATAGTGTTCCCTGTTTTGCACTGTGAAAGCCAATAAATGCATCGAGTCCCTGTTCAGGCACAATCATTTATAAAATGCCTGGGAGTGTTGAGCCTGGTAGCTCTGGGCGCTTTGGACAGGATGCCTGCCCCGTTTTAACCTGGGGAGTAGCACTGTGACCAGGAGAATGAAAAGTATGGTGTAGGGTGCTCTTCCTGTCACATCTTTTATTCACTAAAGGCTCGTGTGATTGGCAGGGGGGCAGGGTAGTAGGTAAGTTAAACTGAAAAGACAGAGTTGGCAAGGACCATTGTACTTTGAGTTATGACAATGTTTTAAGGCATTTTTGAGAGAATTGTCCATAGTGATAAAACACTACATAAGAACATAAGAAATTTACAAAGGAGAGGAGGCCATTCGGCCCATCAAGCTCGTTTGGGGAGAACTTAACTAATGGCTCAGAGTTGTTAAAATCTCATCTAGCTCTTATCTAGCCCAAGGTTTAACCTTGCACTAC